AATGTTTTTCTATATTGCATATGAATGTATATGTAAGTAAAGTAGATTCCAACACAGTTTTATCCAGTTCATTTATCCGTTTAAACGTCTAAGTCTGATTTAAAGCTTTGTATGCATCAAATAATATGTGTAAAAGATAATAATTTAATGCAAAACTCATCGATGAGAATCTGAATATAGAGAATTTAATTTTCTATTAACATTTTTTTTTCTTTATACGTAATAAAAAACGATTAAAAGATTTCTATAATTTTGTTAATTATTCTGTTAAGAGAAGAAATATCAGTGAATATAAGACGTGATAATAAATAATAAATAATGTTTGATGAAATAATGTTTACATGATGTTTGAAATTGCGTAATTATGAAAAATGGAATTAAATAGAAAACAATAGGAAGAAGACAGATACATAATGTCGTAATTTAGCTAAGATCACAAAACAATTTTCGAATTTGCAAGAGCAATGGGAACGCGATTGAATAAGAGTCGTAAGAAATGTTGTAAGTTGGGAAGGTGGAAAATTACATAAAGGTTTGTAGTATCCGTAATAAATTCTACAACGTACTACAGCTATTATGTTGAATTTTCAGCGTGTACCTTTCGATCGATGTTCATAAAACTACGTAGGGTAAAGAAACCTAACAAATTTTAATTAATTAATTATTCAATGATGCCGATGAATAGAAGAATAATACCTATTTCATTTGATTTTAATCAATAAATGTATTATATCGGTATGAAAAAGGTTTTTTAAAGAAACGGATATCGTTTTAGGTGCCTTGCTTTCGTAGAAAAGATCCTGTGCGATATAAGTAATATGTGAAATTTGACGATTAATAGTTGTTACTTAAAAATAAAAAGATAATCTTTGCATATGTTTTAGATTCTATTATTAAAGTAATTTTAATGATAAAAAACGGTACTATGTTTTCGTAAAAAATAATTTTTGTTTTCTAGAAAAATTTTTTTAACATGCATATTTGTTCGGAAACTCTAATGTTCATATCTCTTTGTACTTTTCTTTTTTCTTTTGTTTTTTTAAAGTAATCATATAAACATAAATTCGGAAACAGGATCGTGAAACGCTCTTGGATCTTGGCGGTAATTTTCCGAAAGAAAGAAGCAACATAGAGACTAGAAAACTTGTGAATGATCATTTGTTTTTCGATTGAATATTGCATCTTAACTTTAAAATAGAATTCGATGCGCCCCGCGATTCAACGAATGAGACGAATAACCGAGAAGACGTCGATTATTTTATCGGATATCGGAATACACATATCAGATTATTGGAGCATGCGTATCGCGTATAATTAACCACAATGGTGTCACAATGTACACATGTAATTATTAGATTATTATAAACGAGTATCATAATGAAAACAAATGTAAAATCAAAATGTAAATGTGCAATTCTATATAAAATTAATTATCTGTTATCTTTTTGCTAAAGCATATCTCAGACGCATATAAAATAAGGATTGTTCCTTTTGCGAAAAACGCAAGTGAGTCTAAGTCTGAGTTTTAAGAACTATAATTTTGTAATGTCAAATCTTTCTTTTCTCATCTTCGTCATCTGTCCCATCCTCACCGACAGATAAGTCTGAGCTATTTCCTTTAGTTTTCTTCGCGAATAGATGTTTCTCGTCAAATAGATTTGATCGAGTGATCTTTGGTTCTCTTTCTATGTCATCCTTATGACTATTGCTCTTTGGATCATTCTCATTTACCTCGTAATCATTCACTTCATTATTCACTTTAACCTCTTCAGAATTCTGCGGGCTGGAAATTCCTTTGATCGTTTTATCGCGTTTCTAGACTAGAAACAGTTACACTATAGTTCACAGTGCTTAGAACGCTCTAAGCGATTATAACGCTAGATTCTAATCTAAAATTATTTTGTCTAACAAGAAACAGTTATGCAGAGATAAAAATAATTTTATCGATCGTAGGAAATAATGTGTTTATCATTAGACGAACGTCAACCGGATAAATTGAAGTTATATTAAAGAAACTTTTCTTTCTATTTACATTTAGTTTCTTTTCTAAATTAGATAATAATTAAAGAATTATATAAAGAAATTATATTGCTGTATTTTCGATATTCGACTATCAATAGTAATCCCCGCATCTGCAAATTTATGTTTATTTTCTCTTTTCTTTTTCTTTTGGAATTTGCTTTAACTTAAGGAAAAATCAAGTCGCTTTCTTATTTTTGATCACGACAATTTTTTATAAAATTACCATTAATGAAAACTTTGATATATTTTACGGATTTTTTTATATAATTATATTACATTATATAAATTCTAATTTGATTAGAGCGATGCTTTGATAATTACCTGTTTCTATGTCCTCTGCTGCGAGACCTGCTTCTTCTCCTTCCCTTTTTGCTCTTTTTGCTTCTATGATATACTTTCGAACTACTTTTCGATCTTTGACCTTTTCCACGCTTTTCTCGCCTTCCTCTCTTTCTTCCTTGTTCTTGCACTTGGAGATTTTCAATCGTATTAGTAATCGTATTAGTATTAGTATTGCTGGGAATCTTAGCTGGGATAGATGGGTCATGCATGTTGATCTTGCTCCTTGGCAAATAGTTTTTCATCAAGTCCGAGGATACACGTAGAATCTTGTATGTGGGATCAGAAGGGATAAGATAGCCGGATTCTACACCAAAATCCAACGCACTTTTTATATATCTTTTCGCCTTTTTCATGCCTATCGTAGAAATTGTTAATGAAATTTATTCAAAATAAGAAAGAGATTATTTAGATTATTTAGATAACTTACGTACATACAGATTCTACATACGTAAAATATAATAAATTTTACCAAATATAATGCTGAATATAACATAGAACTGTTATCGAAATCAAGTTGAAATTTTATGTAGTATATCTAGATAGTATGTCAAGCATATCGGGACATTTATAAAAGTAATAAATGGTTCGTAGCGTTTCGCTATATCTTTCGCGATTATCACTGTCATTGCAGTTCAACTTGTGTATATATAGCGTCTATATTATTTTAACTTTTGTACCTTGGCTGTCTACGCATTTTTGCAAATGTGAAATCGGCAAATCCTTGAAGATGGAATTTTGTTTGACGTTATACAATTTTGAAATTCTACCATCGTTCTTATACTGCTTTTGCCTTACTCTGTAGCCTATACTTCTGCCGATAGTACGCGAAGTAGAATCTACAATTTCATCGTGATGTTTCTGATCACATCGTAACGACACTTGCTTGCGAGACAACGTTCTGTATTATCAGAAACCTCATTTGCGACAAGAAACTTGTACACTAATTCCGAAATGTTTGGGTTGCAATGACGATGATCTTTTAAATTACGTTGGAACGAATAAATTATATATTTATTTTTACTTTAAGAAAATTATTTTATTCTATTGCTTACATTATTATATTATATATATATAGAGATACACAGAGAAAAATATACACAGAAAATAATTAGTATAGTATTAGAGAATTTAATGAATTAAGTTATTAATTGTGTAAAATTCTGTAAGCAATAGTATAATGATATATAATAATAGTATT